TTCTTTCTTTCTTTCTTTCTTTCTTTCTTTCTTTCTTTCTTTCTTTCTTTCTTTCTTTCTTTCTTTCTTTCTGCAGGGCTGAATAAAGATCTCCAACTAACAGGAAAGTAATAGACAGGTTTCTCAGACCACTTTTGAGGAAGACTTATTTTTGCATCTTTTAGGAAGCTTTAAAATCTTCAAGGAAAAGATGCTAACTCAGCCTTGAAATGCCTCTTGCTCTCCAGGAAATCTCAGAGGGAGACCTTGGCAATAGTGCCACATCAGGAATTATTCTTGGCCAACCAGGCAAAAGTGACTTCAGTATTCTTAATGTCAGCAGGGTCTTTGAACCTTGGTGGTCAGGAAAACTTCCAAAAGACGCTTAGCTCTCGAAAAGGGGAAAGTCTGGACAGGGAGAAGAGGGGAGTGTGTGTGTTCTAAGTGTGGATGTGAGAGGGGCTTTGCTGTCTGGACTTCCGTTTCATCTGTGATCAGAAACTTCAGCCTGTCTGCTTGATCTGGCAGATGTATGGATGTGGTTCCTGATCCTGAAAAGTGTGTGCAGTGGATGAGGTGCTATAGATGAGAACTTGACAGTGTGGCATCTCTGGCAGATAAACTCTGCCAGCCAAGTGTCTTCTGAGACTTTTTTTCTAACAAACTTTACTGCTTCACTGCAGACTAAGTTATGAGGGACTGCTGACCTCTGGTCAGGAGTACAGACAGATGGGCGTGGAGATGAAGAGACTCCATTTGTTAGGGAAAATGTATCTGTGAGTATTCCTAGAACAGCCCTTTTAAAGGCATGAGACATTTGAGTTAGTGAAAAGATTACACCAGTGCCTTCTTAGAAAGCAGGCTCTGATAACAGATCTATTGTGAAGTCCTTGAGTTAAACATACTCACTTCACTCAGTAGGAAGCATCGAGCGTGAGGTTGTGAAGCTGCTGAGGACCACACCTGGGATGGAGTAACCTCCTAATCGCTCTTGTTCTTTCATGACAAAATGCTTTTTCATCTTGGTATTTCAAGCTACTGTCCTTCAATGGGCCCTGAGTGGAGATTTGTCAAGAGGCACACTAAATAAGGAGGCAAACAGCAGATTTAATCCCAGGACCCAGCTGAGCAGATCTGCAAGTTGCTTTTGTCTTATTTTCATGGAACTGCCTTTTTCAAACATTCATCATTAATGTTCATGTAAGAGTATGATCTTCATCTCTCTTTCCTTCCTGCCAGTTTATGAGCATATTCAAATGCTATAGTTCTTTTCCAGTTAGTCTAACATTATTTTGTGAGACCCTCTTGCAGAATTCAAGTTCATTTCCTCATCAGCATGACCTCTAAAGATGCTGCATCTCACCGAAGAGATGCTTCACAGTTCTGTGCTGATGGTGTTTGAGAGTGGGATACTCTAGGGCTTCATACCACAGGCTCAAATTTAGTCTTTATATCAAAGTCGTTAGGTTTATTGGACTCTAACGCAGTATTTGGTTGAGACACCAAGAAAAGCCTATTGAGATAAAAAAAAAAAAGTCTGTCTATTTGAAATTAAGAGTTAGAGATAGGCTAAATGAGTTCCTTATCTTTTCTCTCTGACTCCTTACAGAAAGATAATAGATAACGGAATTTGAAAAATAAGATAACACAAAGATTAAGACAAAAAATGTCCCTAGAAGAGACATGAACTGATGCATGTAAAAGCTTTATGAACATTTGAATATACGCAAAAACACTGTGAGCAAGAAATGGAAAACTTTTATGCAGACTTGCCAAAATTATACAATTCAACATGAATTTACAAAAACATGAGTAAGTCATCTTAAGACATGAATATAATCACATCGTGAAACATTCGTGTCTTTTTTAGAGCAATTTTGAAGAAGGGATGATAAAACAACTTTTTTCCACTAAGGAAAACAATTTATAGCTAAAAAGAAACTAGGGTGAGTTAAATAATGTGGTCTCGAACAGGTATTAACTTTTGGAAATTAATCTAGAGATCAATCTTTAGAAAGGGGAGTAGTTAAAAGGTGTGCTTGTATATCTCTGGATCTAAGAGTCACATGTAAAAAATGTCCTTATGTTAAAATTCAGTTGTCTAGGTCTGAGAGTGTGTGTTCCCTCAATTCATATGTGAAAATGACATTGCAATGCTAGGTCCCAGCCTGGGGATATTAGAGAGCAGTAGCTTTGAAAGGTGGTTAGGTTACAGAGACTCTGGCAATATGAATGACATTGCTGTTCGTATAATGGTTCCCTAAAGAGCTAGCTAGCCTGTATGCTTATGTGTATGCCGTATGAGTACACAGTGTAAGATAGAAACAGAGGGCGAGCCCTCACTCAGAAGCTCTGGGAACTTCTGGGAGCTCTGGGATTTCCCAGCCTCTGCAAATCTAAAAAATAGTATTCTGTTATTTTTCAAGTTAATGTGTTTTGCTCTAGCAGACCAAATAGTGTAAGACACAGTTACATACAATTGCACTTGTCCTTTAGAAAATGAGGTAAGATACCGTGTTTTAATGTGTCCAACATGAGAAGGCCTTTTCCCAATGCCCAGGATCTGCAACAGAGAGAGGCTATTCCAGGAGCTGCCAAGGCTGAGAGGAGTAGGCAGCAGCAGGTCACATGACGGCCTGTGTACCCTAGTGCTCCTCACAGGGATGGCTTGATCCAGACTCTGAAACTCAGTTTGTACCAAAGAATCAAAATCGAGTGCCACACATGGTAAAAGAGTCATTGGGTTAAAAAAAGAGTCATGGGCTTGGTTCTAAACTGTATTTAACCTAAGTGTATCCTTTAAAAAGTGAAGTCTACCAAGGGCAGGTACCTTACCACTAGTGTGTTGACACAACAGCCTTATAAATGACACGAATGTCTAGGTGTTTTTTTTTTTTTTCTTGAAGTTTTTGTATTTTTTTTTTCAGTTCTTTAGAAATTGACTCACATTGTTAATAGTCTTAAATTTTTTGTGGTGCTGTAAGCTTCCCAAGTTTGCCTCTCTCTTCTCATGCATTGTAACTGTCCAGTAAAGACAGGGTAGCTTCCACATTGACAAGTTACAAAAACAAGGCAGGGGAAGGAGGGAAATTGTCAGCTTAAAGTCCAGTTTGAGTGATCTCCAGAAGTTTTCGCAACTTTAATTTTCATTTGTGTTTCTTTTCAGAGTTTAGCAGACTTACTCTTTTCTCCCTACCTGAGGATCAACAGTTTGTTCCTTCTCTAGCTCGCCCTTCTTGGAAAGAGAGAGCAGAAAATACCTTGAGAAGAGATTTGAGCTGAAGGACACAAGAACAATTTCTGTTAAATGATCAAAAATATAGCTATTTTAAAAATTGAAGATAAGAGTTATGTTGGAATACCTTTCTAGTTGGAAGTTGAAAGTTATATTAAAAAAAAATCAAAGAACTATTTTGAATTGCCTGTTTTGACCTAGAAGACTGGGAGTAGGGAATGATACTTTGTGTGGTATCATTTTTACTCATTGTGTTTATTCTTCTTTTAAGCCCCTGTTTATTAGTGTGTACATATTATTTTTTTTGTTTTATAAATAGGTAGATGAAGGCAGCTAATTATTTTTACTTTTTCCCTAAAGAGAAATTTACTATTATTGCTTGTCTTTGACAAAAACAAACAAACAACAAAACAAAACCTAGGCCACTTTTACTGCATAATGTAAGAAGGATTGTTTGTTTGCATCTGAACTGGATCTATCTCATCCACAGCACAGATACTTTGGAAAGACTGGCTTGTTAAAACAATGAGGTCAACCATTAAATGTTTAGACATTTTTGTGTTCATATTTTAGGATGTCTTGGAATGTATTTAGTTAACTAAGAATTTGAAAATTTGCTGGTATCTAGAAAAATAGTTTTGAATTGTATATAGATGTAGGCTTTTGGGTCTAATGGAGCCTTTCTTGGCTCTTGGTGAGCTTGACTAAGGGAACTAGGGTAACATGATCAATGGTCACCAATGTTACCCTGATACAGTAGCTTCCAAGGGCCTTGTCTCATTCCCAGGAAGAATATGGAACCAGAGACAAGGAGGTGAGCAGAGTGAAAGTGGATGAATTAAGGGAAAGTGAGAAAAACTCCCAAGAGTCGGGGGATCTCTAAGGGAGGAATACTGTCCAGTCTCCCTGCCCAGTGAGCTTCTACGGATCTTATGGCCAGAAATGGATACCAATCATCTTTATTGGGATCGGATAGAGGGGTCCACAAGCCTTATGCATGCTCCCTGGGCCCAGCTCTGTCCAATGTGAAAGTTACTCCTCCTTTTATGGGGAAGAGACATTTGTGCTATATGAGTAGCTCATGATCTATCACAGACTGTCTATGCTGCCTGTTTGAGGGTTACTAAAATATTATTTACAGTTATACAGAATCTACTTAGATTTTACCCATGGTTTCTCAGTGTAATCTAGCCGGGTCTATTCTGTCCCTCATCTGTATCTTCACCCCTTCGTCAGTCCAGGAGAACCAGGATCGTACTGCAGTGTGGAGTGCTATGTTGACCTGATGGCTGCTTGATTCACTTCTGAAACTCTCGTGGCTGTGTTTTTCTTCTGCTATGAGAGACACAGGTTCTCTTCAAAAATTGCCTCTCTGAGGTATATTGTCTTCAATGGAAACTATAATCTGCTTGACATCTGAGGCTTAGGACTCTGGCTCCTAACTATCCTCGTTGCTTTACCTTTGGGGGTCCAGCAAGAGTGACTGATGTGTGTTTTTCTATCAGTTTATCATACCATTTCCATCCCTTTGGTAGGAAGTTCTTTGCTTCCTTCTGTGTTACTTATTGTAAGTGTTCTAGACTCAGCTTTGATCCCAAAACTTCCAAGAAACATTTCCAGAAGTTCTTATGGTAACAGTTTGTGTCAGTCCCTTAAAGTTTCAAAGAAAACAGCTTGGGGCCAGTGAGATAGACCAGTGGATAAAGGTGCCATGCTGGTGGCCAAACCTGATGATTTGAGTTTGATTCATGAAACCAATATGGTAGGTAGAAGGAGAGAATTGACCCTTGCAAGTTGCTCATCTGATTGCCACAGAAGCAGTGCAGCAGGTCCATGAACACTACACACACACACACACACACACACACACACACACACACACACACGCATATACACTCAGGATAAAAGTTCTATACAGATGTGGCTGTATAGAATTATAATTCTATGCAAGCCATGTAAACTATTCAATCCGTGTACAAATCAGTGATTCTTCAGATTCCTAATAGAAGTATGTAGTCATGACCACAACTAATTTTAGGTCATTTTCATCATTTTCCAAGGAATCTCTGAACCTTTGTTCTTCATCTTCCTGTGTACTAACCCTCAGAACTCTTCTGAGTTCTAAGCAACAAATTATTTGCTCTCTGTCCCTATTCTAGACTTTCATATGGGGTAGCATCATATAATGTGTATTATTTCTGGCTCCTTTTCCACTGAGCACAGTGTTTTCAAGGTTCATCCAAATTGTGGCATCTATCATTGCTGCATTCCTTTATAGCCAGTTAGAAGTCCATCAGACAATTACACTTACACATTTGGGCTGTTTCCACCATTGGTTATTCTGAGTAACCCTGCTGTGAATATTCATTACCAACATTTGTGTGGGATACACTTTGCTCTCTTGGGCTTCTACCTTTGAGTAGACACATTATACGGTACATTCATGTGTAGTTGTTTGAAGAATTGCAAGACTGTCTGAAAGTAGAGGGGCCTGTTCACATTCCCATCCACAATTTCCCCACTTTCTCACCGTACTCGGCATTATTCATCTGTTTTATTCTAGCCACCAAGATTGTAGCAACATGAAGGGCTATCACTTCAGTCTCAGCTTCTTTAGGCCTTTTTTGTTTTCTATGAGTGTTTTCTCCCCAGTGAGCTTTGGGAACTGGAGTGGATTGAATGCATTAAAAGAGCTGCTGTTTCTTTAAAATTTTAGCAAGTGTCCAGCGGGCACCTGTGATGGCTGTACATTCTACTTTCTATGGGAGAGTGCAGAGGCTTGCCCTCTGTGCACGGAGCATGACTTCCATGAGATCGAGGGAGCCTGCAAGAGAGGACTGCAGGTAAGGACCAACCTACATAGTCATCCTGAGCATATATCAACTGCTATTCTCCATCGTGTCTGTGACTAAATGAGGATTTCTTTGGATGCTAAAGCTTCACCACTGAGCAAAAGCAGTGACCGCAAACATATTTCAATGTGTATCTTTTAAAATTCTAAGAATTTAATTTGTAAGGACTGCTTCAGTCCTAGTTCCTTCCCTGTTCTTTTCAGTTTCCCACTTTGTGTTGACCGGGCATGTATGTCCACTGTTCTGTAAGTATTTCAAGTACGGAAGTGTATAGTTTACAGAGTGTGAGTCCTTCACGCATAGCTGATAGAAGCAAAAAGACTTCATGGCTTGTGAGGAAAGCACTCTTATCAAATTGAGATCTCAAAAGTCTATACCAGGCTCTAAGTATGTGTTAAACATCATACCAAACATTACACAGCAATAAAGATTTAAAGCGATACTGTGTTATCAGTAAGAGAAATGCTTTCGAATTTATCACTAAATTTATCTTCATCCGGTTCCAAAATCCCCCCTCCATGCTGGAATAAGGAACTGTTCAGCTGCTGTGTCAGCTGTCTGTCCATTCCCCGTGATTCCTGATCAGATGATAGGATCAAGCTTTCCCATGAATACTTTTAGAGTGACTACGAACTTTTCCCAGTTATATTTCTTTCTTTGACAGTATCTGAGGTGCTGAGTGAATAGTTTGACATGTTGGGTTTACATATATCTTTATAATTTTGAGTTTTTGAGATGTTTAGAATCTAGTCAATGGGGCTTTTACATATATCTTTTATTTACTTCTTTCGTTTATAGTATTTGTTAGAACCGTCTAGGCTTTCACATAAGCATGTTTGGTGGTGTTGGTAAAATGTACTTTAAATGAGGTTCCCATGTACTAGAGTTTACATTTACTCTGGCTTATGCTGCGAGAGGTGGGGTTATCTTAAGTGTGTTTCTCCTCTTTCTCATAAAAATGTCACCCGTTTCAAAAGTAACTTATTGATGTTTAGTTCAATAAAAATGATAACCCTTTCTAAGAAGATCTAAGAGAAAACTGAACGTTTTCTTGATCCTAAACCATTCTCCTGCGTATTGTTCAAAACTCACAGTAGAAATGTGTGTATGCACGTACAACAATAAAGTGAAACATGGCTGGATCCCCTTGTTAGAGTTCAGGTAACATGACCATCATACACCAGAAAATTTAATGACAAAGCAGACGTGAAACGAAATGCTCCATGTAACTGGACTTATGGATCACGCAAATAACTGCTGGTCACAATGTGTGTTAAGGTATAAAAGGAAGACTGTGCTGAACTCTGATTTCCATATTTGATCTGCCTCATTTTATCACTTTATTTAAAAAAAAAATGCTTGTTAAGACCCAGCGCATTGGCTTTTTTGTTCACTGGTTTCTTGTCACTGCTATTTAGGACACATTAGGAATTGAACTCTCTACTTTGGGAGGGTGAGAATGCTTGCTATGAGCAGTGATGACCCGAGGTTAATGCCCTCCTTAGTTTGGTAAAAGCAGCGTGTGTTTTGGGCACCTATCTTTACACGAGCTATTTCCAGTTGGTGAGCTTGTGGTACACTTAGGTATCCCAGGACCAGGGTGAGTAGGCCACTGCATTCAGGGACAGGTTTATTGGGTTAACTTGCCTACCGATTGGATATGTGAAGTCCATTCCAATTAGTTGTACTAAGTAACCTGAGATTGTATTTAAGAACAAGGGTGAAAGTCTGGCATCATCAAAATTTAAGGAAAGAATCTCTAGAGAAGTGTCAAAGTGGAGTGATTTTTATTCTACTACTTCAGCATGTGGTAAACCTTTCTGATGGGACAGCAAACATTTTTATTTTAATTTTGCATTTTCATCATTTACTCATTTTTCTATAACTCTTTCTTCCTAGTATTCAATCATATTAACTGAGTGGGAAATAACCTTTATGTTTATGATGAGAATAGAATTAGCAAAACTCTTTCTTCTGTGATAAGTTGGCTCAGTATCAGTTTTAGCTTTTACCATTCAATCCTAAGCTCATCTATGGTCTCGTTTGTTTGTTTTAAAAGGAAATACTGTACGTATGGAATGAACCTAAGTGGTGCATTAAAGGAATTACTTTGCCCGAGAAAAAGTTGTCAACCTGTGAAACAGTTGATTTTTGGCTGAAAGTGGGAGCTGGTGTGGGGGCATTCACAGCTGTTTTGCTGGTGGCTTTAACATGCTACTTTTGGAAGAAGAATCAAAAGTAAGTAACCTCATTGGGATGACCTTATAAAAACTGGAACACCTGTTTATGCTGTGAGAAATTTAGGCCTAATTTTTGTATGTTGTTCTTTCCTTCCATGCCACAAGACATTTCTGGTGAGGAAGGTGTAAGCAAGGCATTTGAGAAAGTAAGGAGAATAAGTGATTCTTGTTTTGATAAGTGAAAGTGGAAAGAGCATTACTGACCATTGAATTAGTCTTTAGTTATAAAAATGAAAAAGTCTAAGCTACTCAGATAGGAGCAGGGCTGAGCCGGAAGGTGGGTCTGCGTTTCTCTGGGTCTGTTTTACTTTCTCTGACATAATCTGACTTCTTGTTCCATCCTTCCAATTCAGTTTCTTTTACAAAGATGTTTTCAAAGAAGCAGTCTGAGCAAATGGGCAAATACCATATCTATTTATTCTAGGTCTCAAAGACTCTGGTGCTGAATGCCAAGTCCCAGTCTTGCATGTATCTATTACAGGGCTTGAGTCTTTGCTGATGGTTTAGAGCTTAGTGGGAACATGTGTGTTCTAATTTCTAGGAATAATTTTCATATCTGAGGTCATAAGTAAATAACAAAAGCACAAATGTAGTAGGGATACAGTAAAAAAAGCCAGCCACCTGCTTGATATTCTCATCATCATTATCTAAACATTAGAAAATGTGACAGTGAAATAATATTGACACATTAATACGTTAAGGAAATACATTCTGACCTTGAGGCTTTTCTTTGTTTTAGAACTGTTCTGTATAATTGGACAGTAAGGTCAATGTAAAATCGATGGTAAAATTTACTGTATTGAACTGATTTTCTGACATTCTGGGGAATATTTTTATGTCGATGGTTGGTAAGTGAGAACATTTAATTGTACAGCCCTGGGTAAGAGGAATTTGCTGTTGGAGAAATTATGCAGGACTATCAGGACTATCTTAAAAGCTCGTATATGAACATTTATAAAAAATATGACTTTATTATTACTATAAATGGCTAGATTACTTATCTACTTATTTACTTCTGCCTAGGTTGGAATACAAATATTCTAAATTAGTAATGACGACTAACTCAAAAGAGTGTGCACTTCCAGCTGCAGACAGCTGTGCTATCATGGAAGGAGAAGATAATGAAGAGGATGTTGTATATTCCAACAAGCAGTCATTACTAGGAAAACTTAAGTCTCTGGCCACAAAGGTGAGAGCTAACTTTTAACCTGGAGTTACTGCGCATGTGTATATCTACCAGGGATCATGGTGACCTGACGTCATTTATGCAAGCACTGCCATTCAGAACAGTTGTGCCTCATCAGTATTTGCTCAACAAAAGTATTCTTAGAAAGTTTATTATATTAGATTAATAACTGAACGCAATATTTACAAGTTAACAAAGTAGAAACCACCTGTACAGCCTCCATGGAAGTTAGATGAGAAATTTTTCTGTTATCAAAATAATTCAAAGCTGAGTGACCTCTACAGCTATTAAAAATCTTTTTGTTTTTTTGGAGAAAGAACTTAAAGTTGGTTTGGAAGGGAAGGGGAGAGGATCTGGAAGGACTTGGGGGAGGAGAAGAACATGATCAAAATATATAAATTTAAAAATTGTTTAAATAATAAAAAATATAACAAAACATTGATTTTTTT